GGAGTGTTCAGCGTTCCGTCGAGTGCGAGAATATTAATCACAGACGACATTTACTCTTTCCTGATGAGCTTTCTGATTGGTTCAGACAATCACACGTATATTTTATTAGAGGTTCTGTCCAGTCAGAAAGCAGGATGTTCACACACATCTGTGCTTCAGTTTGAATTTAACCACTTCCTGTTCAGTTTTCAATAAACGTCTGAAACTAAACATCAGGTTCATCTGTGTCTGAGAGTCTGTGATAGAAACGCTGCGCAGCAGTGCATGATGGGAGTTCAGAAGCCGGGGTCCCAGGAAGTGACCTGCGGCGCCGCCACCTCCTCAAAGCACACGACGATATCACCGACTCTGAAGTCGACGTCGCCGTCAACCGATAGGCCGCACTCCATGCCCGCCCTCACCGTCTGCATGTCATCTTTGTGGTGCCTCAGTGCTGCCAGAGAACCTGTGGGAACATCAGGAGAACGTTAGAACAACACGGTCCAGTCCTGCTGCTTGACCCCAGCTCCGGTCTCACTCACCCTCCCACACGGTGTCCCGGCCTCGGATCAACCTGAACCTGAACCGTCGGTCCAGCTGACCTTTCTGAACCCGACAGCCGGCCACGGGAACCTTCTTCTTTCCCACGGTGACGTCAAACAGGGCGATGACCGACGCCTCACCTGCACCGGGGGGAACAGGTTATGTGTGACTGACATCACAGGTTCATCTTCCTCTGACATGTGACCTAAGGGGGTGTGGCTAGAAACAAAATGAACATATGCAGATCTTGCCTCTGCTCCGCACTCTGAGCGCGCTCACATTGCTTCTGTTTTCCTCATTAAATGACCTCTGAGCGTCACGTGCTCCAATCAGATGATGATTTAAAAACAACGGTAGAAGCGTCAGATGGAGACGCGTTTACCTGGTGGCCGTAAGGCAGTAAAATTAAGATGCTGATGCTACCTGTTACCATGGTGATTTAGCAGGGATGAAACGCTGACTTTGATCTCACTGATACCCCTCCGCTCCACCTGAGCTCAGCTGTGGTCACATGACCGTGTGGTGCCGACTCACCTGTGATGTTCTCCGAGACGAGTGGTGGCAGTTTGGCGCTGAGCTCCTCCTTCAGCTGATCTACCAGCTTGTAGATGACGCTGTGCAGGCGCAGCGGGATGCCTTTCCTCGCTGCCAGCTGCTCGATGCCACGGCTCGCCGCCACGTTAAAGCCATAGATGGAGCCTGATGGCGAGACGCAGCCAGTCAGGACAGTCCACACGATGTTTGAAGGTGGAGCAGGAGATTTATTATTTATTTTAAACTCAGGTACCCTGTGATGCATTCATAGACACTCTGTAAGAAGGCGTTCTCTGCTCTCAGCTTTGATCCCATCATAAAATCACACTAAACCAGCCGGCGGTCAGAAGAATCTGCTGCACACAAAATGAATAAAAACATCTGGAATGGCGTCCTTTGCTCGTACCTCCAAACATTTCGGCCATGTTGACGTCGTTCTCAGAGATGTCTCCTATGCCGAAATGGACCACCTCGAGCTCGCACTGCTGCTGACCGTCGTAGCTGTCCAGGATGTTCAGGATGGCCTCCACCGAGCCATCCACGTCACCTGGGTCAATGGTTGTTCAGTTAGTGACATCACAGTGGGCGGAGCCTGTTTGAAGCTGGCTCAGTGCGTACCTTTGACGATGAGGGCATCATCTCGCTGGGCCTCGTGGCGAAGCGGGTCTTGTTGGCCCGGTAAAGCGCCACCTTCCTCTGCCTCCAGCTCAGGTGGGACAGCCCCTCCCTCTCCCTGCGGTACTCTTCCAGGTGGAGCTTCTGCTTCTGCTCGATCGCGCTCTGCTCCTCCTGCAGTTTCCGCTGCTCCTCATCGTGACTTCTCCACTCCACCACCTCCCGCGCTCGCTGCTGCAGGAGCCAAAGGAGGAAAGCTTTTATTGTGGAAGGGACTGACAGGAAATGGTCATCTCTGACCCACGACGGAAACCAACGACCAACAATCCAGTCTGGATTTTTATTTAAATTTCCCAAAATTTAAAACCAGAGCAAAAAAACAACGAAGAGCAAAGTTTGCAAAGAGGAGGCAGAAAACGAACATCGCAGCGAAATGTTCTGAAGAGATTAACGCAAACTTAATATTTCTC